TAAGTCAGAACTGGCGGTCAGTTTCAGCAGCGGCTGAATCTGGACGCCAGTTCTGACTTACATACAGATTCAACTTAAGAACAAACCTACAGTACGTAACCCGGGGACTGCCTGTAATGTAATTGTTAAAAATTGCTGCGGCTACACAATTACTAAAATACATGATATCTAACATCCTCATTTCAAAGTCCTTCCTGAATTCTGGGTAAGGCTAATGTAAAACATCCTCTTTTGCAACTGATTAGTAGAAGGAAAGCCCAGTAGAATGTTTCCTGCTTTTCTAGTCTAGTTAAATTTCCCACTAACCTCCAGTCCTTCTTTTAGCTGACATGCAGTGATGCTACCTCTCTTCCCTTAAGACTGTTCTTTAGCCAGATAGAGGCACAACCAATGAGGTCTCAGGCTAGTCTGTGTTTGAAAAATAACATGGATGAAAAGAGAATGTGAATTTAAAGCACAGTCATTCTTGACCCACTCAGTATGTGAAGACTTTTATTCCAGAACAGGAATACCTTTTTTCTCTATTGTTGAACCACTGTAAATTAAGATAGATAGAAATAAGTCATTCACGTTCCAGAATGGTCCGTTCTGAGTGGGGACATGCATAAATAACGCTGTGTAAACTAGGGTTGTTAAATTTAGTTTAATCAATTAATTGACTAGTATTGGATTTTCCATTGATTAGTCGATAAGCAGGAAAGCTGCCGTGGGGTTAGCTCTTGGCTCGGGAGTTAACCCCACCGTGGCTCTGCCTTTTAAAAGAGGCTCTTAATACATTTAAAAGGCTAAAGCACAATAGGAGGGACCCAGCATAAGCCACGACAGCTGATTCCCGGCTCATGCCAGGTCCGCCCTGCTGCGCACCAGTCTTTTAAATACATTAAGAACTGACAGGCCCTTAATACATTTAAAAAGCAGAGGTGCAGCATGTGGGACTGGGTACAAGCTGGGAATCAGCTACCCCGGTCCCCACTACCCCCTGCCCACCATGGAGCCAGTGCTGGGGGAGAACTGACTTTTAAGATGACTCCCCTCAGCACGGATTTCTGCTCTCCCCGCCTGCCTCTGATAAAGGCAGCAATGGGAGGGAAGTGACTAGTCTCTTATATCCCTAGTGCAGGCATTAGGGATGTGAGAGTGTAACTGTGTATACGGTTAACCAATGAGCCTAGTCTCATCAGTTAACGTTCAGTTACATGCATGTTCCCTGTACGCACAGGAAGCTAGCTTTTTAAACATGCTCCCTGCACATACCAGCTCCCAGAGAACTGCCTGCTCCCTGCATTGCTGCTTCTATATCAGAAGCAGCAGCCTGGGGGGACAGGGAGCTGGTATTTCGGGGGGAACCAGCTTAAAAGCCAACTCCCTGTGTACATTGGCTCCCAGGGAGCTGCCTCTGTAACAGTGTAACCACTGACATTTTCAACACATATATTGGTACGTAAAAGCATTTTAACATCCCCAGTGGACATACCCATAGTAAGCAACACAAGTGAAGGAAACCTGGAACAAATTAACAGGGCTACGTCTAGACTGGCATGATTTTCCGGAAATGCTTTTAACGGAAAAGCTTTCTGTTAAAAGCATTTTCAGAAAAGAGCGTCTAGATTGGCACAGGCGCTTTTCTGCAAAAGCACTTTTTGTGGAAAAGCTTCTGTGGCCAATCTAGACGCGCTTTTGTGCAAAAAAGCCCCGATCGCAAAAATGGCAATCTCAGCTGTCTACACTGGCCCTTTTGCGCAAAAGGGACTTTTGCCCGAACGGGAGCAGCATAGTATTTCCGCAAAAAGCACTGATTTCTTACAGTAGGAAGTCAGTGCTTTTGCAGAAATTCAAGCGGCCATTGTAGACAGCTGGCAAGTTTTTCTGGAAAAGCAGCTGATTTTGCAGAGAAACTGGCCAGTCTAGACACAGCCCAGGTGTTTGTCCAGTTGATGAACTGGGTATTTAAATCATCTGAGGCAGACAGAGCACACATGCCAACAGTTAGCCTTATCAGCACTCCCCTAAAGAAAACTGCTGCTTTTTCAAGGCTTAATTGCTACTGGGCACTGATTCACTTTGAGGCTGGTGATACAAACCAGTAGTCTGTGTTGGTAAGCAGGTTTGAGTGTTCCTTAATCGAGAGCAGTGGTTCACAACCTACTTACTATCTTGGGCATCATTCAACACTACCTGTATTGCCCTGAGGATGTCACATGGGCTGCAGCTCTATGCTGATTGGGCTACAAGTTGAAAACTAAGGCTAAGCAATCAGTTTGACCCTTTTGTTTGGTCAGTTACTGGCTGCTTTCACCCAAGCAACATCCTTGCCTCCCAATAAAAGGTGGCATTGATTAGAGGTAATCATTTTGTTGAAGAAGGAAGAGAAATGGGGAACACTGTTTTCTCCAAGTGAGAAAGTGACAGATGGCCACTTGGCAGTGGAATAGGAAGGTGAATTACCTTCCCTTCCAGGCAAAGCATTAAATGACGAATCTTTAAGAAAAGGGACACCTCAAAACTAGTATTAAGACTGAGTGATTAGTGGTCTTTTTTCATCATAATGTAATATTGATTACTTTATTTGTGCAAATGCCAGATAAGATATATACAGAGTACTTCCAAAAAATGGATATTCTTCCAGAGGGCAATAAAATTAAGTTGATATGCTGCAGAGAGCTTGCCATATTTTCCTACAATAAATCAAGGAAGCAGCTGATTTAAGCTGTCTACTTTTTCACTGAGCTTCATAGCAGTTTTGGCAAATAAAAAATTTCCCTGTGCTGTAAGGACCATCTGTTGGGCTACCTGTCCCTCTTTCCATTTTTCTTGTAAATAACCTGGGTTTTTTGAGAGTCTGGTATTAATCAGAAAATGTACAACCAGGTACAACTTCAGTGTTCCAAATAAATATATCTCCCAGTATGACTATAATAGTGATGAGACCTGACACATCCATCTGACAACAGTCCAATGAAGATCAAGAGGAAAGTGTTATCACTCAATTTTTTCATCTATGTGTCACTAGGCATGTGTGTGGCAGTTCTGACTAGTGGAAGCACAGTGGGATTTTCAAAAGTGCCTGAATGACGTAGGGACACAAATGCTGCCCCTACGTTGCCTGTGAGTCAAGTGCCCTCAACTTCATCTCTAGTAAGTCTGCAACTAAGTTCCGGTTAAAACTAAATAATATTTCTAAAATCTAGAAACAGCTAACTGCAAAATGGCTTTTGACTCTCTTAAATGTGTTGTGATTAATGCATGATGCTGTCCCTGACTAACAGCTAACTCTTTCTTGTCTAGGTGCTCTGTGGTATAAAGATAGCAAAACTCTTCTGATTGGAAACCAGCTGGTTATTCTACTCCTGGGTAACTATTAATTCAGATGTAGCTACAAATCCAGAACTCTAGTTACAAGCATGGGAATTTAAACTTACAAATTAGGGCTAATAAAGTACAAGACTGTGGACTTCCAGTTGACCAGGTGAGGGCAGAGTAATGGAATCTGAGACAGCAGTTAATGCTGTTCTTGCCTGCTATTTATATGGCTTAATATGCTCTGTTCATTTTTCTTGCTTTAAGAGGCGTTCTTTTGATCTGGCAAATACTGCTCTTCCCTAGTGTACAAACCAACATCCTTCTTTTCTGTTTGTGGAGCAAAACGTATTTCAAGCAATGTGGTTTCTGCATAAAGTAGATCTCAGACATTTTATTAATAGCAGCAGTAAATGCATTTTTTTAATAATCAAAGATACACTTCCAACATTTGATAAGGTTGTGGGAAGGTTTGGTTTCTAAATTGGTGAAAGATATAGGTTTAGAAACACTCTTCATTTCCAAAGTGAAGTTACAACTGGTTATGTAATTGAAGAGTATTGGGCATGATAAAGTACTATATAAGAAACATGTATAAGACATCTTTCCCTCTGTTCAGCATACAGTGTAGTACAACTACCTAGAAAAGCTGTAGTTTAGAGGCTGCTATTGGAAGTCAGCAACTTTAAAATAACAAACCTGTGTGCATGTACAGCAGATGGGAAGATGAAGGCATTTACTAAGGAAAGTGCTATCCCTTTTAGATTGTATTATAACTTGATATAAAATTTCTCCATCTGTTAATGTAATATTTCACTAGCCAGTTACTAACATAAGAGATTTCAACATGAATAAAATACTTACAGGGCTTTATGTTTGGTAGTTCAGTGTATATATAAGGTTTCTGTAGCATTGTGCCTGTATAGCTCACCTGGTCAGAAATCATTCTCATCAGCCAGAGTAAGGGAGTGGTGCATTTTTACCTTTGCTTTGAAGTTGTCTATGTCCAGCCATTCTTTGGCACTCCTCTAGGCTAGCATCATCTTGAGCCACACAATCTGTATTTGTGGCAAATATGCTGAGAGTTTCTATCTTAGTTTACAGACTGATAAACTAATGGACCATTTTGGTACAGAGTACATGTAATCTTAGAATTCTTTTGTAATTGTGGTCAGCTGCTCATCAGAACTTCACCTCCTGTGAAACTTGCTCTATTTGATCTTTCTTCAAATCTTGCATCAGCTTCAGTAAGCAATCACAATGATTTGCAAACATAATCCCAAGGTGAATGAACTTCCTAGCTTTTCTTAGTTCCTTGTAGTGCACTCTGCACAGCTCTGACATGTCCATATGTGAAGCCTTTTGAACTGTTCTTATGCTCATCTGTGTGTCCTGATTATTGCTTTCCAGGTGACTTGACTGGGAGCAGGAGCAGGATGCCATCACTTCACTTTGGCTCTGCCAGCGTGTAGTCTTCTATCTTGTAGTATGTGGCTTTGCCTAAATATATGAATAAAAATCTAACTTTCACGAAGCCTGTGAATTCCTGTCATACAATATCACAGAATCCTAGGGCTGGAAGAGACCTCAGGAGGTCAAGTCCAGCCCCCTGCCCGAAGCAGGGCCAACCCCAACTAAATCAAATCTTTTGCATAAGGCAAAAGAGGTCCTCAGCTTTGCACATTTCTTCTGCACCTCTGGTACCATTAACATTTGTGCAGGGAAGTAGTGCAATCGTGGCAACTGAAACACTTTCTAGCTGGTGCTAGAGAATTTGGGGAAGTAATTCAAACCTTGCTGTCCTTGAATACATAAAGCGTTTGAGAATATATTTTTCATGTGGCACTTCTCATTTCCTCCACTAGAAGGTGCAAAGGTATGCTAAATGGCTGAATTACAATTAAATAGAGCAGATGCAGGAGACTTAAGCAGAAACACATGCAGTGGGGTGAGAGCTGGGTTGGGAGTCCTTCCCAGTTCAGGATGAATGTGGATTATGTAAGGGAGCAGCTGTACTGACAATGACATCCACATGCCAATACAGTGCTGCATGTTGTGCATTTAGGTATTAGTGCTAAGGAAACAATGTAGAAAGGAGGTCTGTTATACACATGTATTGAGGGAGAAACACTCAGTAGTGCCTGCAGAATGTACTAATTTTAATTTACACTGCTCTCTAAAATGTGTGGCAACCAGGAGACTTACACTATAGTGAGGGGAACAGCCTACTAAATCTGCAGCAGGTAGCTACTGCTGTCACTCCAGAGCAGGGCTACTCAACTTTGGAAGTCCCAGGGGCCACAATGATACCCACAGCACATGCCAAGGGCCGCAACTTAAGTGTGGCTGCATGTATATGCAAATATTTATGCAAATAGCATCTTTCACACTGATGGGCAAGACTACACAACACACAGGCCCCATTTAAGTCAGTCCTGCTGATATTAACAAAATCCAATATTTACCCAATTTCCACCCATATGACAGCACTTGTGGGGAGGCTCCTCCACCTGTTGCCAACCCCTGCCTCTCGCTGGCTGGCAGCTCCTGCTCATGCACAGACACAGCTTTTATCAGAGCCATGCCGTGCAGCTGTTTCTGGGGAGGCTCCACCGCCTCTTGCCACCCTCACTGACCAGCAGCTCCTCCTGCACCACATGCTTCTGCTTCTGGGGACCCCCCCCCCCCCCCCCCAGCCAGTAGCTGGCAGGCAGGCAGGCGGCCCAGGAAGCAGCTCAAGGTGCTGCGGGACGGGGGCTGCATGCAGCCCATGGGCCACATGATGAGTAGCCCTTCTCCAGAGGAAATGTGAGATGCTTCACACTTGACTGCTATCATGCAAGTCTCAACAATGCAGTGACTACATGTTAGCCAATGTGTTCTGGGTATAAGCAATACATTGCGTCCCTGCAAGTGCTGCAGAGACTTTTAATTGATGTATCATTAGCCATCTCCTTAGAGCAGTTGCAGTCTGTGGTGTTCTGTGTACTTGCATCTTATTCTGTGCTTCCTCTCCACCTTCAAATGGTTCTGTCCTGCTCAGGGATCCACATACCGATTGTGAGGGGGACTATGCCATAGCACTTGCAGATACTATAATAGAGAGTCACTCAGGCTTTGTCTACACTATGGCTTTTGCCCAAAGAGGCAATGCAAATGAAGCACAGATTAGCATTTTGGCATGCTTCATTTGCATAATCTAGCCTGAGCCATTTGCGCAAAACAGACATGGCCACACTACTTGTTTTTGTGCAAAAACCCCTTGTGCAAAAATGGCTTGGAATAGATTATGCAAATGAAGTGACCAAATGCTAATCAGTGCTTCATTTGCATTGCCTCTTCTGGCAAAAGCCATAGTATAGACATAGCCTCAAAGGACAACCCAGAGGATTGACTAGTATTACAATGAGCAACCTGGGTGATGCAACTTGAGGGAACAAAGAACCTGATTATATTGAATAGATTTGGATCGCACCCTGTTGTGTGTGGTTTGTCACTGAACTAACTTCAACTCGGAGCTACCTGAATACAAGCTCCAAACCAGTTGGCTCTACTTTTGCAGACTCTTTAAAGCAAAGTCTGTGTCCATAGCTATAAGGTGGGTTGAGAGAGTAGCTTTCTGTAGCAGCACAGATTGGATTCTCAGGGCTCTAAGCCTTGTGGGCTCAGCTGATCTCTAAGGTGAAGTCTACATTGCCCAGTCTTGCACAAGAACATATGCAAATGAGGTGTGGTGATGAATATTGCTGCACCTCATTTGCATACATAATGAGCCTGCATTTTTGCACAAAAGGCTCTTGCACAAAAAGCAGTCTGCACTGCTCCTTGCGCAGAACCCTTCTCTTGTGCAAGATCTGTTCTGCCACTTACTTTCAGGCAGACTGCTCCTTTTTGTGCAAAGGCCTCTTGTGCAAAAATGGCAGCTCATTAAGTATGCAGATGAGGAACAGCAATATTCATTGCCACACCTCATTTGCATAAGTTCTTGCATGAGATTGGGCAGTGTAGACGTAGCCTTCGACTTCATCTACACTGCAGGGTTTTTGCGAAAGAAGCTTTTTGCGCAAAAGTTTTTGTGCAAAAACGTCTTCCGCAAAACTGCGTCCACACCTCAAAGTGCATCACTTTTGCAAAGACAGCGTCCACACTAGTGGATGTTCTGCACATAAAGCCACCCGGAGCCAGTTTTAGCTGGGCTAGAGGTCATCAGTTGCTCTCAAGTGCTATTGCCAGAGCCCTCCAGAGACACGCACTTAAAGGGACCCCTCGGACAGCCACTTCTCTATCTCTGCTTCCTGCTTGCTAGCCTCTTTGGCAAAGCAGAGCTTCAGCAGTGCCTGCTGTGTTTTCCCTTTGCTTTTTGGTGGCAACACAGCTTTCCACTACTCTGCTCTGTGCTAAGGAACCAGAGATGCCCCTGGGCATACAGTGGACCCCCAGGGCCATGCTGCACTCCCTGCAGTGCCTGCTTCAAGCAGGGGTCCTCTTTCAGATGGAGGTGGACCCCGAGATCTTCTTGATCAGACTGTCTGGCTGTGGGTGCTCCACTCTGGCTGCCCCAGCCCACCATACCCAGAAGATTCTGGAGGCTGGAGACCAGCTTGGACTGGTGGGACTGGCTAGTCATGGAACGGTGGGACTGCTAGCAATGGGTGCAGAACTTCCACGTGCAGAAGGCCACCTTCCAGGAGCTCTGTGCCTGGCTTGCCCCCGTCCTCCAACAACGTGACACCGCCATCCCACTCCAGAAGCGGGTCACCATCACCCTGTGGAAGTTGGCCACCTCAGACAGCTACTGCTCGGTGGCACACCAGTTTGGGGTGGCGAGGTCCACCGTCGGGGCTGTCCTGATGCAGGTAAGGAGATCGCAGGATGCAGCCCCTGCAAGGGGGGAGAGGGAATGTTGCATAAGGGGATCCTCAGGACAAGGGGGCTGGGCACTGTTATGTGGTGGACTGGGGGTGGGGGGAAAGGCCTGGCCCTAGGGGCTGGGGGCTCCTCCCCCTCACACTGGCCTGGTCTGGGGGGGGGAGGGCATGGGAGCATGG